AGCTCACTTGAAGTATTAATCCGCCAAACATGAAATGTAAGCAAAGTTTCAATTCGTGCAAAATTGTTTTATCTTATGCGAAATGAGGTATGTTGTATTTTTGTGTGATCAAGAAAAAGATATTTACATTTAAAAAAGATTATTGGAACGTTTTCACGTGTAAATATTTCTCGCATCGTTTTATTTCTGTTACAAATTTGGATTCCAACAAATGTGATTACATTTAAGGATTTTTTATTTCTCCAGTTCTGTTATCCAAAAAGATTTATATATACAAGTCGTCGGAAATATCTGCGAACCTGGCTTAATGACGTCATACAAACTGGAGAGATAGCAAAAAAATTGAAGATGTAAAAATAAAAAATATTTTATTTGTGTACTTATTTTTATTGATACTCGTACCTACCCATCTTACATACAGCACTAAATAGGTAGCTTATGTAATATTTCACCAAACAGAGAAACAATAAACACTAAAATGCGATTACGAAAGCAAGAATAATACACGTGCGGCGTCGGCGATTGCGTTGGCAACGGTACTGGATAGGCGAAAACGGGGCGGGGTGCGGGGGCGCCAGGGGAAGCGCATTCCAGCGAGGTTCGCAGATATTTCCGACGGCTTGTAGGTGCGTTGTTACATGTGTTACTCTGTGGCTTAGGGGATAACATTCGCCCATAGGTTATGGGTTCGATTCCCGGCGTAACCTATATCATCAATTACTTCATGATGATTGATTTCCGATTGATGAAGTCTAAAGCATACTCCAAATATGAGCAAAGAAACAGACGTTTTTATACCTCATGTTCGTTAACGGGGTTTGACACAAATATATAAAAAAAGATTTTTTATATATTTGTGTAATTTATTTGTATAATAAATAATAATTTAAGTTTGAATATACACAGATCCAATAAACTATACATCTACATCATAGTTTATCAGTTTACCATGAACAATCTGTTCCAGAAAAAGTAAATTTGTTTTTGTATAGTCTACTCTAATTAGCGCCGGAAAAGTTGTTGTTAATATGAAGATGATATTTTACTAATGCCGAGAAGATTACATTACAGGGAATAAATATATAATATACACCTAAATATATATAAACGGACAAACAAAGCTCAACATTAGAACGAAAATAGATGCATAGTATACCAACCTAATCCATAAAGAACCTTATAAATAAAACGTGAGACAAAATATATATACCCACCAATATTTCAGAAAATTCAGATACCTACATATTTCCCTCAAGACAAGCACATGTAAGGGTAGTAATGACATCCTCGGCGACGATGTTTTTTACGACTTATTTATGGGGTCCCAGTAAGTATGCGACTTTCTCGGTTTTTAGATACTTCAATTCCAAAGTATTTACTTTTTAAGGGTAGCATGTCACTGAAATAGGTAAAAAAGAATTTTATGTTATCTTTAAAACTTAATTATTAAAAAAACTTATTAATTAACAAAAACCTTGAGTCTTTTTAAAGTTTAAATATACATTTAAACTTAAAAAATGATGTCTGTTTAAACTAAAATATACTTTACAGGATCCAAACGCATTTACTCGTATATTAACTTCGATGGTAGGTTGAAATATATATATCACAATTTTATTAGTATATTTATATAGTAATAAAATTGCGATTATTCGTGAGTTTGTATAAAGCGCAAATTCAGCCCCACATGGAGTACTGTTTTCACCCTTGGGCTGTAGCTCCTCAGCTCCTTCCATTTCATCCTTTCCACATCGACGTATGGCGTCCCACAACACAGCGCTTTTAAGGCACTTTCCGCCGCACATCACTTCTTTGTGAACCAGCTGCCAGCAGAGGTATTACCGACCCTATACGACTTAGGAGCCTTCAAGAAAAGACCGTACCCTCAAAGGTTTGCTACACATGCAAGGCATTGCAGGTGTCCATGGGCACGGTTAGCACTTTATTCAAAGTGCAATAAAAAGAAAAAATAAAGTTAAAAAAATAAAATTAAAGTTATGTTTATTATAAATTTACAATTATTTAACATAATTTTAAATTTATCCGACCGTGACCACGCACGCTGTAAAGCACGCGAAACGTCTAATAACTAAATAACTTTAATCCGGTTAAAAAGATTTTTCCTTAAAATATTATATACTTAGTTAAGTTTTATTGATTTTTTCCTTTTTAATTTTTGTAAATATTTGAACCTTTTTGTATATACTATGTATTCTATCTTTGGCTATATCTTTAGTATATTTCCAAAGATAGAATAGATTTGTTTAAGTTAGCTGTAGCAGTGCGAGATACATAAATTTGGCATAGGTTATACGCGAAAAAATATCTCTTTTACAAACTTGTACGGTCTCGAGGCAGCATAAATTAAAAATAAATTTAACGAGTAGCTAAATAAAAAATTCCTTTCGCATCCAAAAATCGAAAGAAAATGTAAATTGAACCGTAGTACAGGGTGAAATAGATTTATGACGCTTGTCATCACGTATTTAATGTTAGGTCTCATCTTTCATAGAATTATCCCAGTGTCACCGTTTCAAGATTTATTTCATGTAACTCATTTATCAAGTGCGGATGAAATTAAATTTTATTAAAAGGAAAAAATTTACTACGTGATAAGCTTTACACGATTTTAGCTGCGAAACAACAATTTTCAAGGTCCATGTATGGTTATCTTAGGCGGGTTTGCAAGGCGTAATATATGATAATATAGAATCTTAATTGCGAGCAACATATAGTAATAGATAATGCTAAATAATTCAATTGTACTTACTACTGATATTCTACTTCAGTATAATCTAATTTTAAAGAAACGAAACTCTTAAAAATTAACCTGTAGAAAAACTGAATTACTGCACAACCTTTTTAACTTAAGTAATTAGACGGAAATTAGAGCGTGCTTAATGTTTAAGTCCGTAGAGAATAATACTAATTACATTAAATGTATGTTATTTTCAGTGTATCAAAACAAAAGTGGATCTAGGTAAGTTTTTGTTAGACACTACTAATAGGAAACAAATTAGTACTTAGTTTTGCTTGGCTCAAAAAATACGCTTTTGCAAAAACATAGGAAGAATATTGAACGTAACATTAATCAAATTATTCTACTTGCAAGTACATAATTAGTGAGATGCTCAAAATGTTCTGTTACGCAACTGCTTGTATAATCCTTATGTAGGTACGATAGGTACACTGAATCGAACTTAGAAATCTAAATACGATTAACTTAAAATTTCTTTTAATGACTTGAATGATTTGAACCTCCTGAGCATGTATGCTCATAAGTATAGTAAACCTTAATAATATGGGGGGCATTATATACGGAGGGTATACACAAAAATACTGTAATTGAAAACAGCGCAGCAGAAAATTATCATACGTGTAATAATTCGGTTTGTACGTTCGGTCTTTAGACTTTGCATGCAACTTTACAGATTTTTTGGCCCTTCAGGATTAAAATTTTGTAGGCATGATTAGATTGAAATTTGCGGCTCAAGCACGTAGGCACTTTGTTTAATTAATGTCACGCATAAGGATTTTTTAGATTGTAAAGTTATTTTCACATGCTTAGCATATACTGAATTTTCACACGATTTCGAATGATTTGCCATTTACCTAAATATGTATTACACTATATAAAAAAATGGATGTTGATTCGTTCAAATACAACCGATTGTTAAAAATGGTAGTAATATCTTTCGGAAATTAATTGTTGGTAACCAAAACATACACACATCAAAGTTATGATATATGCATTTTTCCCTTATCTCTACTAGGGAATAGATACATCAGATATCTAATTAAATTATATAACAAGGCCCTGCAGTTCTGAACTGCGAAGATCAGAATCAGTGACGCGAAGCTACTGGGGATAACACGTACCTACCTACTCGCTGCCAATCCAATCTTCGTGAACAGCGACATTTACGGTCATCGATTTACATCCACCTGGATTTGATTAGAAACATTTTCAGTTCACACACAGGCATCTAAAGTACTCTTTATCGGTGATATACGTATGTGTGGTGCATCAGTAACATCCTTTTGATCCTTCAAGATTGTAAAAAGAAAGTATATACTATATATAATGACTGGTATGTACTATGGATACTCTAGATAAACACGATATAACAATACAGAAACAAAAAATATTAGATAACTCCATCGCTTTGTACTATTATATATATAGGCGCTTTTTGATAATAAATCTTTCATGTGTATTATCAAAATGTACCACTTTATTGCAATTTATTTCAACACGATACTTATTAGTCTTTTTGGACGTCATAACTAAAAATATTCAGGGAAATGCGGTTATATTTGTGATCATTAGGTCCTTAATAATTTAATTGGCATAATTAATATTTTTATTTCACTTTAGCCAGCAGATAATAAATATTATATAAATATTTTGTACATTCCACAAGATCATATAAACAATAAACATAGTACCTACATAGAAACCAAAGACGTCAATCAAGGCAAATTCGCGTGATAAAAGTAGTTATAATCAAATAATATGCCAGCCATTAGAAAAGCAATTCAATAAAAACCTTGATACACTACAATGCATATATCAATATGCAGTGGCCAGATAGGCCTTATATGTAGATTTATAGTTTAGATCGTCCCGTGCTCAGTGTTCCAAATCAGTGGATCATCATCACTCTCGCCGGGTGCCCCACTGGCACAGTATTATTTTACATATTTATAATATTAAAACTTTGATTAAAATTTGTACACTATTTTGTAAATAATACTTAAAGTGAAACAGTGAGTGTTAATATCAAAATCTTGAGTGTTCTAAATCTCTATTTTTAAAACTGTTAGTTGGACTGGTAAAAAGTATATCACAATTTTACACATTTAACACAATGTTTATTATAATTGATGAAAAAATTTTACTATTTGTGGTCCATGTAAATTTAAAAATTGAATTTGGCTTATCTACATGCACTTTTAAATAAAAAATGATAATAATTAATGTACATCAATTATAAGATTCAAATGGGCTGTCTGACAGGGGTCAGCTTTTCAGTAGGCATTATTTTCACTAAGCAGTCAGTACAATAATCTGTCCCAGCATTATCCGTCCACCGAGCTCCAAGAAAATTGGTTTTTAGACAGCCAACACACATTGTTTTCGCCTGGTACACTGGTGAGGTCTCATCTAACAACCTCTGAGCTTTAGCTGCTCTCAGCAGGTCAAGCATAAATTTGTTTCCATTTCTTGCTTCCGAGGTCAATGATTCCTGGTCTTCAGTATCTTCATTAGGGTCTTCCATCTTCACAGGCACATGGAGTTTTGGAAAGAATGTAGATTTTTTGTAGAACATACTTTTACTTTTGTCTTTAGTAAATTTATTTTGTTTTGGTGCTCTCCCAGGTATTGGTAAACCAGCTTTTGCAAGTTTATTAAAGTATTTCTGTATACGGCTCATAACCTGAGTTGTTGTTCTTGTACCAAGTGCAGCAGCAATTTTTTTATAACGCCGAGCTTCTATAGGCTCTTCTGGGTATATCTCCAGTAACTCTTCTAGTCTTTTTTGTTCCTCAAATGACCACAGTTGATTAAAGGTTTCTGGCTTACTATCAGTAAAGGTACGTCCCCGTACTTTCATTGCAGTTTCTATTTCTTTATTAATTTTTTTATTGCTTTCTGACTCAAGAGACACATCTATCCCATATTTTTCCCATTCAATGTGAGGTATATCAGGTATTGATTGACGAGGAGGAAAATTTACAGCACCTGCCTTTAAGTTTTCTATGAATGATAAGGGATCCTCCAAAACTTTGTTTTTCGACTCATTAAGAAGTTCAATATCTTGAAGAGCTTGTACTTTTAGTGCTTCTAATTTAACAATGTACTTTAAAAGCTCATTATAATCCTTGTTACTTCGTAAAACTAAGTGATCTGTTTCAAAGGAAAATTCACGATCTTCTTCAGAAATAACATCCTCTTGATGTTCCATGTTAGGTGCCTGAAAAATTGGATAAATAAGAATCATTGCAATCTTTTCTTGAGCAACCAAGTAGAAACAATACAAAATATTTAAAGAAAAGTAAGCAATGTCAGGTGTAAAACTAACAGGAAGTCCTAAAAGACTCAGTGTGAAATTAAGAAATAAATTAAATAGCGTTCACCAAAGAAAATACACACCTGAAAGTCGAAGCTCTTCTCTAGAAGGTTGCAAAAATCGGTAAGTAATAAAATACATTCAAACTTTACATAACTTTGGTTTAAATTATTTTCTTGTAAAGATTTTTAATTCCAGAAACAAACGCTACCTAGATATTCAATTTTAAAGTTATTATTAATAAATTAGTAAATTAAAGAACACAAAACAGTTGTATCTACTATCTGTAATAACAACAATAAACAATTTACAATTCTTGAATTTTGATAGTTGACACCGGTCGGCGGTCGTCGACAGTCATACTAAGCTGTAGTCTGTATTATCGATGTCTTTTTACTAAGTATTCGTACCCCCTAGTAGTAAAATGGGCAACTTTCCGTAAATTCAGTTAATATAAATGTTTACGCCACCTACCAAAATAATTTGTAATAATCGGAAACTAGTGCTTAACTGCGCCATCTCGCGATACAATATTTAACTTACTGCAAAACTTGTTACATAAGCGTCATCTAGCGAAACCACCATAAACTAACTGGAAGGTTTGATATATGTACCATCTAGCGAAACTTTTTAAAACTAACAGTGATGAAATTTCCTTTTATATTCGCGCCTAAAGAAGCAATCAATAAATAATTATAAAAAAATGAATCAGTGGCGCTACAACCGTTTTTAGGTCTGGGCCTCAGATTTCTGTATCTGTTTCATGTTAATCTAATGGGCAAGTAGGTGATCAGCCTTCTGTGCCTGACGAACGCCGTCGCCTTTTGGGTCTAAGGCAAGCCGGTTTCCTCACGATGTTTTCCTTCATCGTTCGAGCGAATGTTAAATATAAAAAAAAGTCCATTGGTGCACAGCCGGGGATCGAACCTACGACCTCAGGTATGAGAGTCGCACGCTGAAGCCACTAGGCCAACACTGCTCTAAATAAATAATTATAAAAAATATAATTTAGATTTGTTTATTATCGACCTAAAAATTTGCTCTGTGCAATGAGGATTAATGAAATCTTAATGATTGGCTAGTATTTAAAGTATAGTTTTAGTTATCCTTATGTTTCGATTATGGGTATAAATTGAGAAAAGATATAATAAACTCTTCTGCAAAAATAAAACGGGCACTTTGCAAAGAATACTAGGTAGATTCTATTTTTATGGAAGACAATGCTGGACATGGAAGCGTACATGCAAGGAGTTGGGCTCCGCTGTTTAGATTGTCCAACTTGAAGTCCTGGCCTCAAGGCCTATTGATATTGTCTGAAATGTTATAAAGAGACGAATAAGATTAGTGCAAGCTACTTCACAAAACATCAGGAAGCTGAAAAGGGTCATTGCAGAGTTTTCACACAATTCTTCTACCTTTAACACTCATCACTAATGTGTTATAACTACCCAATATATACTAATAACCCTTCACAGATTTTTAATATTAAACTACATCCTCATTACTAATAAAACTAGGGCCAACTCCTAAAAACCTTATTTATTAGATACATATTGTGAAAGAAGTGAAGAGAGTGATTTAACATGGAGTTAAATATCCCCGTAAAACGTATTAAAATATTCATTATTCGCATGTTTAATAATTCATTATTATTACCTATCTTATAATTCAATATTTTCTTTGTTTTTTAATTTGAATATCAACACATATTTATTATTCATGATACTAGTAGGTACACTTGCTTATAGAGAAAATTCAATCAGTTCTTTTCCAGGCCAATAAATATTGATAAGCAATAACATTTCTATTCAAACCCTTCTTAGACCGCTACAGATTATAATATGGCAGCTTCGACAAAACATAATAATTCTTAAATTGAAATACTGGTGTTTTCATGGAATCTATGTATCGAGAAATGTACCTCTAAAGTGAAAAATGTTTTCTGCAGAGAACGCAAAACGTCGGAACGGTTAACCGTATAATTTAACATTTCAAAGTATTTTCTAATGTTATGGAAGTCCGAATAATACTAAATGTAACAGCTCAGCACATCAAAATCGAAGTCTGATCTGGTTTAAAAATTAAATAGATTTTTTAAATACCTATTGCATTCCACATAAAGTTCTATGTTAGAACAGGATATAATTATATCGCGCCTTGATTGCGAGAGAATACCAAATTCAACTTAAAACAGTTTCATTCACCTCCTTTTTTGAATGACGCGTCTACCTACTTTCCGAGGTTACATCTATCTACGTACCAAAAATTATACCTATTAAAAAACGCATCTTCAGGCAGGAAGTATTGCATCATTTTTTGATGAATTTTTATTACACTTAGCCGTTTCCTTTGTTATAGTCGCTGCACTGCGTGTAAAAGCAACTATTAAGCCATTAAGTTCATTTAAAAATAACTTATACGTTGGAGAATGTTATTACTTTGACTCCAAACCTCCTATATACTCGTATCACACTGAGGAAGTCGCGAGTATTTAGGACTTGACCAAAAATATCACGTCAAACATTTAATAAAATAATTAATAAAAAATATTTCAATCACAAACAATTTAATAACAGCGGTACTTAAGTGTAATATTACTAAGAGCAAGATCAGGCGGTACTCACGATCCTGGCAAATGATTTTACAGCCTTATCATTCCCCAGAGGATAAAAATGCCGGATTCGTACGCAGACTGCGGAGTTTTCTTAGACATTTTCCTTTATATTTCTTTTATTTCTTCGAAATGGAGATGCTAAAAGCAATAAATTACAATAGATGGTATTCTTGACTTACAAAGTAGGCAAGATACTGTTATCTTATTGAAGAAATTTCAAACAAAAAATTTTAGTAAACAAAATTATCGAGAGTTATTTAAAGTTTTAATTACTTTATAATATACTATATATAAAGCGTTTAGGTTTCGCTCGTTTTTGATGACACTTCGTCAATTTAACACAAATTAATGAAATTAAGAAAATTGAGGCCGCATTTCCTAGGATCAGTTTAGAATTGAATCCCAATAAATTATAACAATGCTTATGTATTATTATTTTTATATACATTGTTTATACATTAAGAAAAAAGTTATTTAAACAATCGTTTCAAACGTTAGAAATATAGATTCCTTCGCATCAAAAAAGGAATTAGTTGCCTATATTACAACATAACATAGATTTTATACCTACCTACTATGATTTTATTACATCTTCGGACAAGTTGAAAAATTAAATTGTTTCTGTAATAATTGTTACTGTACATTTTTATTACCCTACTTTAATATATTACGAACACATTTTCACATATTAAACAATTTTCGCTTTAGCTAACTAGAGCGGTAATAGAAAATTATATGGTTTTAATGTGGGACCGGCACTCAATAATAGAATCCTAGGACTTGCTTGGTAAAAGCCTCTTGGAAATTACGACGCAGTGTAATTAATCCTTGAATAAATCTAGGTCAAACCTAACTTACAAAGGTCATAATAGCTTAACATTCACTTCAGAGGTTTGGCATCGGAAGCGTCAATAAAGCGTTCGTTGACTTGACCTAGGTCTTAGATATCGTGACAAAAATTTCTAGGTAATTAACGTTGTAAAATTATTACACCTGCAACATAAACATTATTAATTCTTAACTATAATTTAAAAGGATAGGCTTTTTAAGAATAATTATGTCTGTTGTCAGAACATTATTTATACATCTGTAGATGCTCGATAGATAAAAATTGTAACTTTACCAGATCTTATATACACAACTTACTGTTATTTTTTTGTTATTTAGCTACAATATAGTTATATAATAATCATTATCCTTTCATGTTCTAGACAATTTAAAATAAGAATAATAATATAAAATACCTAACAGAATACAAAACTGGGCATTGAATATATTTGTAGATGGTGGGTATTTGCAAATCTCCAAACTGAGTTTTATGATATTTTTTTCGTTACAACGAAAATAACCTTTAATGATTTGATGAAGGCTATTGATGAAACCTATTAATAATGTGTCTTCAATATCAACCTGCCATTCCAAATTACAAGCTATCAAACTAATTGTGCAATGCATAGTAGTCTAGTCGACAAGTTGAAAATGGAACAAAAATAGAGATACTGCTCTTAAAATTATGTGCGATAGCTCATTCGAACCGGAATGACGCCTAGAAAAATGTGCTAAAAGCGTGTATTAGCACATAAAAAATTGCCAAAGGTTATAGACCATTAAAGATGAAAAAAAATGGAATTTAGTTTTTTGCCAATATTTAATAAACTATTAATATTTAAGAAATTTCAAATAAAAGATTCTGAAAGAGGAGGAAATTTCCAATAAAAAACTCTCAGCTCCCGGAACTCTATCTCCATTATTTATAACTTTAATTTAACGCTGAAAATAGGTCTGTGCGTGACATTTTTAGGATTCGCGCGTGGCGTCAAAGAGCGACTACGGCACATTAATTAATTTATTTAAGGTATTGAATATTTTTTTAAATTTGAAAAAATTATGGTGTGTTCTGAACACTATAATTAATTTATTCCCTTGTTGGAAATTCTTACTTAAAGTTAATTTTTCAACAAGTTAAATAATTGTTAACTAACGAAATTTTTCTCGAACGACCGTCTTAATTGTAAGTGAAAAAAATGTTTTAATAATGGTCGTAAAAATTTCGCTCGCTTCGTCGAGAGCCTTTCTTACATACATACTTAACAAGATCGTGCCATAAAAGTTAAAGAAATATTTATACTTTGTTTATAACAATTTTTTTACTTAAACAAAAACTTAAAAATCAAGTAATTTGTTAAAAAATTTTTTTTTTCTAAATCATCAAATTATCGTTTTTATATTAATACAAGATATTTATTGATTTGCAAAAAAAAATTTCCGCTCATTGTTAATAATTTTTTTTTAAACAAATTGAGTTAAATCAATTGTTTTAAAAAAAAAAATTTCTAACTTTATTACATTACAAATATTATGATTGTTTAAAAAAAAAAATTTCCTTAATAACATATTTTAATTGTTTATAATCGTTTTTTTATATTTTTTTGTTTAAATAATTAGTTAAGAAATTTTTTTTTTTAAAAATCATAATTCACAATCCTCTATAAAGTAACAGAAAAAATTTTTTTTAATCAACAATTCTATTGTTTATTAACTTACCAATTTGTTATAAACAAATGTTCAACTTTTTTATATTTTTTTCTAAAACTTCTAAAATTAACAAAAACAACCATATATAACAAAATATAGAAAAACATTTTTTTAAATTTTTTGATTATCATGAATATTACTTTTATTAAAAAAATTTTTTTTTTTTTTTTTTATAGACTTTGTTATATATGTTTGTTTTTGTTAATTTTTAGAAGTTTTACGAAAAAATATAAAAAGTTGAACATTTGTTTATAACAAAATTGGAAGTTAATAAACAATAGAATTGTTGATTAAAAAAATTTTTTTTCTGTTACTTTATAGAGGATTGTGAATTATATTTTTAAAAAAAAAAAAATTTCTTAACTAATTATTTAAAACAAAAGAAATATAAAAAAAACGATTATAAACAATTAAAATATGTTATTAAGGAAATTTTTTTTTTTAAACAATCATAATATTTGTAATGTAATAAAGTTAGAAATTTTTTTAAAAAACAATATGATTTAATCAATTTGTTTAAAAAAATTATTAACAATGGCGGAAATTTTTTTTTGCAAATCAATAAATATCTTGTATTAATATAAAAACGATAATTTGATGATTTAGAAAAAAAAATTTTTTAACAACATTACTTGGATTTTTAAGTTTTTGTTTAAGTAAAAAATTGTTATAAACAAAGTATAAATATTTCTTTAACTTTTATGGCACGATCTTGTTAAGTATGTATGTAAGAAAGGCTCTTCTACGACGAGCGAAATATTTTTACGACCATTATTAAAACATTTTTTTCACTTACAATTAAGACGGTCGTTCGAGAAAATTTCGTTAGTTAACAATTATTTAACTTGTTGAAAAATTAACTTTAAGTAAAATTTCCAACGGAATAAATTAATTATAGTGTTCAGAACACACCATAATTTTTTCAAATTTAAAAAAATATTCAATACCTTAAATAAATTAATTAGTGTTGCCGTAGTCGCGTTTGACGCTTGGCTTACGCGCGAATCCTAAAAATGTCACCCCCACAAACCTGGGGCACCTTTTCAGCGTTAAATTAAAGTTAAAAATAATGGAGATAGAGTTCCGGAGCTGAGAGTTTTTATTGAAATTTCCTCCTTTTCAGAATCTTTATTTGAAATTTCTTAAATATTAATAGTTTATTAAATATTGGCAAAAACTAAATTCCATTTTTTTTCATCTTTAATGGTCTATAACTTTTGCAATTTTTATGTGCTAATACACGCTTTTAGCACAATTTTCTAGGCGTCATTCCGGTTCGAATGAGCTATCGCACATAATTTTAAGAGCAGTCTCTATTTTGTTCCATTTTCAACTTGTCGACTAGTACTGAATAGTAGGTACTGCATAGATATAGAAAGATCGCGATTCACAAGAAGTCACGTTTTTCATTTATTTATGAAAACGGAGAAAAGTGAAGTGGTAAGTCTAGTCTGTGCTACTGTGTTTTAATGAAACATATTGTGATGCTTCAATTGACATACATGTCGTTAATATTACTATAAATAGTTTGAAGTACACAAATTCACAGCGTTTAAAATCTCGTGGGTATAGTTTTTACTATTTATCTAATTCGGCATTTCTATGCCTAAAAACTCCTATTAAAAAACTACTACCATTAAAAATCTCATACCTTTAGAGAAATCGAAAATTTCTTCGACCAAGAGTTTTATATTAATTTAAAAAAAGATAGGTTGCAATAAACAATATTGTGTTGTTGATCTTACCTTTTTGTTATGAAATCTAATTTTCTAATGGAAAAGCGAGTAAGATGTTCAATTATCTCATGGGCATTGCTTGCAAAAAATTATGAAATATTGACAATGTTCTCAAGCATGGCTTACATAACAAGTATGTGTATATTTATAAGGGAAAAAGTGCAGTATTTGCAATCGGTAAAAAGCAGAAAAAACTCTTATCAGTGCTACCAATTCTAGCACGCAAATCGTCCATCAAAACTTGAAAGTTGGACACAATGAGGCCATATGCGGTAGGGGCAAAGGGTGTAAGGTTAACAGGCCTACCCTTACCCTATACAAGCGTTCAAGCTGTTTTCAGTCTTGTGGTAGCACCCGGGAGTGCCGCATCGCTCTACTACGATTTGTCTCGCCGCGGGAAAACTTAATTTCCTTGAATAATTCGAGTTCACTCATACAATTTTCGTAGAAGTGTAGCAAGTACTGTGTTACGCGCAATTGTTCATTGTCAGTGTATATTAATGAATTCCTAAAAAACTAATTCTGAAATTCCGGTTTAAAAAGGAATAAAAAAAATTGTTTTGTACGGATTATTTAGCTGTAGACGTAAATAGAGAAGTGAAACAATTAATTTATACGACACAACAAAAATTTAAATCTTCATTGCTGGTATTACTTTGGGAATTATTCAAAAAAAAATAGAGAACAGCTGAAACTGTAATTGAATTTGTTACGGGGATAAGTATTTCAAGTGACACGCGTAAAAAGCGTTATAGTGGAAGCCGCATGGTTTGCGATGGTCGCGCAATGCTGTGCCTCGAGTCCCTGGTGACAAGGTGGCGTGAACGTGGTGAACGGGGTGAAAGGCGAACCCGGTCGCGTAGCCTATGCTCTTCAGCAGCCGATGGCAGCCTCCTCCAACTGCTGCAAAGACGAGCCAGTAGTGCTATGTAAGTCGAACATTGCAAAAAAAACTGAAATCCCAGTTACATAGGGACTTCTTAACTACGAATTATACGTTCTTCCCTCCTTAACCTTTTTAAACCACATATTTTTGGTCATAGTGTTCTGTGTGTTGTAATACATAACGATATGAAACTACAATTTCATAAAAACGTCTAAACTATCGGAACAAAATTCCCTAAATAAACGCAATGACAGATAATATGCACTTTAAAATAACATAAAAGGTTGAGATACTAAAACCATTTCAACAATATATTTAAATAACGTATTTAAAACTCTCCGCAAAATGTACCGCAGGACATTTAATAAAAAGAAATGGCAATATGCACTTCTGAATAATTTAAATAAGAAGAACCTTGAAGAGTATCGCGTGGAAGAATGCCAAAGCGTTACCTGCTCGTTTGAGGGTATTTTCAACAAATTCGAGCAGATTGAATATTATCCTTGTTTAGAAATTTGTAATTCCTAAAAGATTTTGTTTTTCACTAAAAACATACTTATTGTTTCGATTTTATTTATTCGTCTTCATTTATTTTTTTCCTTTTTGTGGTGTTTGTGAACGGTCGCTCATAATAATATGGTGGAGCCAAACGCAGCTTTTAATGAGCGTGAACAACTTGACTTAAAAATATCCTTATAAAATAAGTTATTTATCTATAAAATATAACGATAGCATATTATGATAATACCTCGAAATCGAAATGAAAATTACCTATTATTCATTTTTACGTATCTATTTGCACAATAGATGTCATACACCATCACCATCATAATGCTAAAGCAACATTTTTATCATTTCAGAAACTCATTACAACATTTATCAATGACGGTGCGCTAATAAAGGTCTCATACAAAAATACAATTAAAAAAAATCGAACTGAAGAAGCTTGACCAAAATAGTATGCAAATAGCGCACTAGGATTCCAATTAGAGTCAAAGCTCTTTGATCAAGTGAAGTGTGATTCGCTAATTAGCATTATTGAGTTCCGGCCCCGTCCATACATCATGCTCGTGTTTAGTCGGACGCTTCTATAAAACAATGTGGCTTATGAACTGATTTATGGACATAGTTAATATTCAAAGCGCATTCTTTTATTAAATTAACACAATTAATATGAAATACGATAGCTGTGAACCCTCGTTAGTGTATTGTTCTCATTTAATGATTTCACTTATAGTGTTGTTAATTATGTGTTTGATAATAATTACGCGTTACGTATAGTTAAAATATGTTGTATGGAAATGCTGCTATTGTTTATTAGAACATTAGCGTTCATGTCTTAGAGAACAAGCACGAAATGAACAAAAATAATACTTAGTAGTAGTAGTTTTTCTTTTCTTCTTTCTTTTAAGTAGTAGTACGAAGCGCATTTATTTTTACATTATATGTTTTTGGCACCGGAAGACGTCTATCTGAAAACTCTAGGGCAATTCAAATGACCTAATTTTATCTCCTAAAGTAGGCCACAACATTGTATAGAAAGTTATATATATATAACTTTTGTTTTCCCCGCTACGAAAGAAAACAACTGTTTATGATCATCCGTGAACGCCACTTTGTCATAATAAAGAAAGATTTGACGAAAAGATACACGAATTCAACTGCCCTTTTGGAAATAAAAATCGTGCTTTTTGCAATAAAATTAAGTTGTTGTACCTTATACCTTACCATAGTAGGCAAGTTTGTTTCTTACGCAACTATGCAACAAAATATAATAATTTTTAGTACCGACCTGGGGTTTAAAATGACAAGCTTTTGTTCACAATATTACCAGTCGTAAGATTAGTTAGTTTGATGCACAACTATTACCTATAACTGATTGTTATTCGTAGCTTAGCAATATACAGCTATATGTGTTCAGGAACTAAGAAATATGGTTGACCTCAATAGTATATGTACCTATAATATTTAATAATAGTAATGCAGGGACGCAACAGAGGGTTTTAGCATCAGATTTCATCCGCATTTGAATATTTACGTTTATAGACAAATAGAGGGTCAGCCTTCTGTACTTGACAATCATCTTCTTTGGGTTTAAGATATCCCGGTTTCCTCACGAAATTTATCTTCACGGTTCGAGCGAGTCCATTGCGCATAGAGAAAGAAAATCCGTTGGTGCACAATAGGGATGTGAACGTATGACTTCAAGGTTGAGGAGGCGCACGCTTAAGCTACTAGACGAACTTATAATATACTATAGTATTGATTATAATATTTAACTAAAATAGTAACCGAAGCCTGAAGCGATGTCAACTCCATAACCCCTAACATATCAAAATTCAATTAAAGCCTGTCAAAACTTCGAGTTTTTTGAGTGAGAGAGGCAAAATTAAGTTTAGTTTTCGCACTAGTAATTAGTTTGAAACTCAATATATTTAAAATGTTATTTATTAAATTGAACTCATTACAAATTAGTTTATCATATTATACCTAATATGTTAATATACCTAATATTATAAACACTATTAACTAAGCCTCCGGACTAGTTGTTTAGCTTTTTGCTTGCTACCCTCACTCGTAACACAATAATAGTATATTTTTATGTTAGTTTAGTGTCTTGTCTTTTATTAAATGCCGTCATGTTAATATACAGCTGTATGTGCTACTAAATATATCCTAACAACCATTAAAGGCACCCAGTGGCGTAGCTAGGGCCCTGGGGCAAATTAAAAAATGGGGCCCCGCTGCTATGTAAACTGATTACGTTTTATCAAATAAAAATATGAAATATACGAATACTTTAAAAATGCTAAGCTACTTAAGCTCTTTTTTGTGCAGGGCAGGTAATATTAAACAGTAACAACATAATAATAATACAATATTAAACAGTAACAACATAAATCACGATTAATACTTGGTGTAGGTTTGGCGAATAAAATGAAATAGAGAAGACAATATTTTCATTTTTTTTTTAGTTTTCGCAAAAGTATCAATGACTTCGTTTAAATCCAGGCATGATGCGGTTTTGTTTTCAATTGCTATCTAATTCGCGTTATACAATGAGCTGTAGCCGAAATCTTTAGATTTGACACGATTTATTGACTATAATGGACATCAATATGAGTGGTAAAATCAAATAAAATTGAACCATTATAGTGACCAGTACAAAAAAGTTTATTGACATTAGCTTACTAACTCCTGAGCCAGCATGAATTTTTTAACCGTTCTCAAAAAAAAAACTTAACTCGAATTTACAATAAAACGCACATCGATGAATAATAAAATGCACATATCACTATCCGTCAAATTGACAACAGACAACACTGCCAACCTACAGAAAGAATTTAGGGGAATTCCCTAGGCATAACTTTTGAATTTCTCTCAAATTAATGTCTTGATTAAAGTGGGTGCAACCGCACTTTAAACCTGTCATAATTATTTTGAAAATGGGAAAAATTTCCAAAAGTTCAGAGTGATCGTAATTTCTGGTAAGGATTCGAGGGCCCCCTGAGCTTGAGGACCCCGGGGCACGGCCCCGCCTAGCCCCTAGGTTGCTACGCTACTGAAGGCACCTCTAGCATAGGTAGGTAATAGCTGTACTCTTTATATGTGGACTTGTGAAAAGGCAAATAAAAAAAAAACAATTTTATCATAAGTATTCTATGATTCCGTCTTTAAACTATCGGTAATTTATATTTAGATTCCCTAAATTAGGATAAGAATAGATATTAAAACGTTTAATTTAACCTATTTAAAATATTGAATTTAGACATAATATAATAAAGTTCATTCAAATATAATTAGGAAATTATTCAAGGTTCTTAAGAATTAATATCGTTGAAATTTTGTTTTGATTGCCAGCAAAGTTTTACTTCTGCAAACTAAGCTTTAAATTTAAATATGTTTAGATTTCAAGATTTTAGTAAAAGATTTACAAAAAGTACTGTTACTATTTTTAACCACCTTTTAAATGAATTAAATAGGAAAGGATTTCTTAATTCATTTGAATTTATGTATACGTATGTAATGGATGTTGCAAGATTAAATCATTATATTTTAAAATTTAATTAGATTAATTAATTTTTTAAAGGAGTATACTGCCTAGGTATGGAAGTAATCATGGGAATTCTTCGAATTGATGTAAGTGGTCTCTCAAGGGACGCTACTTTTTCTCTCTGACTCTCTCTCATTTGAGAGAGAAACAAACGCTCACGAAAGGCATAATTTGTTCAGATACTAGAAAAAGGTCATTTTAGGAAATTTTAAAGTCCTGTTTAAAATAAATATTGTAATATTTCTATACATCTTTACTTGTCAACATATGATAGGGATAGCTCATTTTTTATATGAGTCTTTTTTTTGTCATAACATATAAAAAAAGAAGATACTATAAAGCTAGACAATAAGAACATATTATGGATTATCAATGTAAAATAAAACATAGATATAAGGATAGATATTTATAAAAACTAAATAATAGAAAGAATTAATACTAACTTACAACAATTTTAATATTTTATTATTACATTAGCATTAATATAGAATTAAAAGAAATAGAGGATTTTTGGATTATCCTATAATTTTCACCCAATAAAATATATTATTTGTTTTACCATTTATATTACTTATTTGAACTAAAACAAACATTCAAAATAATAAATTATTAATAAACCTCACTTACCTCTTGCAAAGTTACTTACACAAATACGAAAATTACAAAACTTCATATAATTTCATAAAAAATGTAAAGGTATAACCAAGAACGGCAAATACACGGTAATCATCGTCCGTCCCTTTATTTTCTTTTATTCACTACGATCAACATATTATAATAATTCAACAAACTAACCAACAAGTATATTGTGATGTTATATTTACACAGTATATTGAAACATTAAGAACAAACTCATTTTATGCGACAGTAAAACAATAATTTATTGTAAATAGCAGTATACGAGTAACATAGAGTCGATTTGACGCCGCGTGTATGACCTCGTTGCTGTTGACGTATTTGTGGTAACTGATACACCACAAGCATATTCATATGCAAAACATTATAGCTTCGACCACGACAACTCTGGAAAGTCTAGGAATAATAGAATTGCCTTTGGTTCGAGTATTACACGTTGAAATCATCTTTCGCGAATTGATTAGATTATTTACGTAAGTCGACGTTTCGTAGGCATTGAGATAATAGTGAATTGTAACTATGTATATTGTCTTTCTTACCTACGACAGTGTTGCAATTGAAAAATAAAATAAATTATGCTACATTTGCTTGTAGCACTACAAAGTGTTTCTTCATTGTGCTTTCTTATTATTTATATCTATGTCGTGGCCATATCGTAGATTAGCTCAATTCATGAAATGTTCGAGAATTTCATGAAATGGTTACATTTCATGAAATGTTTCATTGTCTATTGGCCACATCGTGATGTGGTTTGGGCAGATCAATGATAAGAAATCGTTTCTCGATATGGGCAACTAAACGCGCGGCTTCTTCATGAAATGGTCAATTATTTGATCAT